TTTTTAAACAATCTCAATGATTTCTAAGCAAAAACTAGGCAGTTATCTTGCATCTTATATTGATTTTACACCTTTTTAGTTTAAGTCCCCCAAAGGGACTGTTTCAAAGCAAAAACTAGGCAGTGTTATCTTGCATCTTATATTGATTTTACGCCTTTTTAGTTTAAGTCCCCCAAAGGGACTGTTTCATTGATTTGGTACTCCCAACACTTAGAACACTGCCTGAATTTAACATGCACTAGGAAGATTAATTCCATCACCTTGCATAGGATGGAGGTGGGAGTGTCAATGTCTGATATTGCTTTCACCTAATATTCATGTATGTAAAAGCATGTTTCTCAAGAGGATGTGGCTTGTTCACTGTTGTATCCTTGGAACTTCACATAATGTGGTACATATAAGATGATTTACTTCTTTATTCAACATAAATTATGATTATTACTTTTCATATTTCAGCTGTTGAACACCAGCAGGCTACTTTTACAATAGCAGGAATTTTTAGTTTTTACTATGGCTCCGTCAAATGTTGGAAATTTGTAAGTACATTCTAATCAAGTTGTCCTTTTAAGCTTGTTTTCTGAAGTCAAGAGCAGATTAAAAAACAGCCGATAGCTTTAAGTACTTATAACTCGGCTAGCAGCCAATGGGAAGAGGTTGGGATTCCAGTGAAAAGGCAAACCCAATATAAATGTCAACTTATCATGGAAATGGATAATGTAACAAGAAAATTCACTAAGGTTTACTTCCTGCAGACACAAGTGATAGAAAAAAGTATCTTTTAGCAATCGACTCGGACTCAATCTATACAGCACCCTAGTAATCAGCCATATAACCAAACACTTAGGACAGTGAACTTTGTAGCATGCCCTTACACCTCAGCTGAGCAAAGCTAGCATTTAACCACAGATCTTAATTTCCATCTTTTTGCTTAATATCTCTCCAACTAAGAGGCTTACATTAGAAGTATTATTCCAGAGAAATGAACTCTTTAAAAATGCCTAACTCTTAAATTCTCTGTAGTTCAGGTATTACTATGTAGGCCCAACATGCCTGTTTTTGGGGTAAAAAAAAATCACCACGATCTAGTTATATTCAGATCTTTATTTAAAATTTTCTGCCAACTTAGCGTTTTCCACCAACTCGGGGAGCAGAAACCTTCACAGGCTTCACAATCTTTTGCTTAGGTGCTGCCTTTGTGGGAGCCTGGAAAAGAATAACGTGGTATTATTCCATGCAATTTTCTTTTTTAACCAACTACCCCTCTCATGTTCAAATTCTTCATGTATCTTAGATTGCTTTCCTAATTATTTAACTGCATTCTTAATATTATTTTTAAGAAGCCTCCCAAAGTTAAAAGTCTACCTTTATATGAAACACAGTCAAAGATACTGTCATAAACTGGATGAATCAAAGAGATATAACTAAATGCAATGTGGGATGCTGAATTGTAAGCTGTGTAAACTCTAGTTATTGAAAACTTTTCTGTAAATCTAAAATTATTTCAAAATAAACTTTAAGAAACAAAACACTAAGAATCTAGTTATGAACATCATTTCCATTAGAGCCTTGCACTAAATTCTTTAAAGACTTAAAACTTTCATTAACCATAATTTGGATTAAAAATAAGCTTTCCTGCTCCAAGACAATCCAACAATTACCTTAGCAGCAGCCATTGCTGTCTTCTTAGATGCTTGCTTAGCCTTTTTTGCTTCCTTGGCAGCCCTGTGGGGTTAAAATTAAAAATAACTTAAGGCAAAGTACTTTACTCCTTACGGGTACAGCTTATTAACAAGGAACTAGAGTGTTTTGGAAAAGTGGAATTATATTCCTTCCCCATCTCCATTTTTAGGATATATCCAAAAAATTTGTCAATAAATGTCATTAACCACCAAGTCACCTTAATATTTATTAGAAATTATACAGTAGCTTTAATTGCATATAGAAATTAACAAATCATTTAGACTATATTATAAACTTCTGTGTTATTAAACGCAAATAATGAAAGCTTCCTTACCTGATAGCTTGTTCTCGTTGAGCCTTCCTAACTTCAGGTTTCTGATTCCTCTTGGCCATTATATCAGCAAGAGACGCACCAGTGATGGCCCTCTGGAATTTGACTGCACGGCGGGTTCTTTTCTTTTGAATTTCCTCCTACAAATAGATGGGAACATGAATTTGGGGAAGAAATGAGCAAGTCTTTAAAGTGGGGGATATGAAGTCTTTTAAGATTAGTATTTGTCCCTGTCCATCTAGGCCACTGTAACAAAATACTGGACTGAGTATCTTATAAACAAAAAATTATTTCCCACAGTTTGGGAGGCTGGAAGTCAGGGTACCAGCAATGTGAGGTGAAGATCCTCTTCCCACTGTAGCTCTATCATCACATGTCAAAAGGGGACATGGGATCCCTCTCTTGGGCCTTTTTATTTTGGACTGGTTAAATCCTGGCCATTTTTTACTATAAAAAGTTAAAACTCTTAGGAAGTTAACTGGATAGTATTTTAAAAGTGATTTTAGTAAGACCATTTAAAAAATTTACTTTAGGGAAAAAAGTGTCAAACTTCAACTCACCTATTTTGTTTTTACTCAAAGTACTATCACTGGGAGAAATAGTCAAATTAGAAAAAAATCATATGACTGGAGAGCCACCAAGTGTTAGGGATCAAGACAGTACAATTCAAATATTTACTGAAGATTTTATATTAGAAACCTATTCTACAGCACTTATGAGAAAAAATACCTTGCGGTGCACCTCTAAGTCCAAGGAAAATTAAACAAAGACAAGTGTTTCTTAAGGCAGGGATATGCTAAGTATCTTTAAAATTTTGAACAGAATACAGAGAGAAAATAGGGCACATTTGTGGTTAACTAAAATGCTCATTTTAAACATGTTACTCAGATGAATTTTCATTGTAGAAAATGCCACTATTTACCTGTTTCATATCTCAAATCCACTTAAAAATATTTTTTTTCATTGTGGCAAAATATACATAAAAGTTGACCATTTTAAAGCATTTTTAAGTTTATAACTATCTCAGTGGCATTAAGTACAAGCACAATTATGTGCAACAACCACCACTATCCATCTCCAGTTCTTTTTCATCGTCTCAAACTCTACACCCATTAAATAGCTCCTTGTTCTTCCCCCACCCCACCCTACCCTGATAACCTCTACTTTTTGTCTTTATGAATTTGCCTACTTTAGGTACCTCATTAAAGTGGGTTCATACAGTATTTGTCCTTTTATGTGTGGATTACTTCACTTAGCATAATGTCTTAAAGATTCATCCATGCTAGCTGGTTGTCAGCTTTTTAAAGCTGAGTAATATTCCATTTATATACCACATTTTGTTATCTACTTGTCCACTTATGGGACATTTGGGTTGTTTCCACCTTTTGGCTACTGGGAATAATAGTGCTATGAATATCAACATACAAGTTATCTGTGTAAGTTCCTGCTTACAATTCTCTTGGGTATGTACTTGGAAATGGTATTGTTGGATTGTACAGTAACTGTTTTACTTTCTGAGATACTGCCAAAACGTTTTTCATAGTGCCTGTACCATCTTACACACAACAGTGCATAATAGTTCCCAATTTCTCCACATCCTCGCCAACACCTGTATTTTCCCTTTTTTTGATAATGGCTATCCTAAGCAGACGTGTCAAATCTATTTTTAAATTAAATTGAAAGAAATTTCTCCTTCCTTTGAACTCCCACAATACCTAGTAATGTCTGTCTTTCATCCAAGAATGGCTTACTAAATATTCACAAATCTAAATATTCCAAACCTCCTAGATACTAATCCTACTGCCAAGGCACTAAAATCTTTTTTCAAAAATTTCCATCAAGTGAAAAGAGCACTTCAAAAACACACCCAATCTTCTTGACAATTAGTATGCTGGAAGACTCCATTAATACCTGTGTTAGAATCCTACGAACATTATAAAACCAAGCTACCATAATAACTACTTTCCATCCACTGTTAACAACTTAAAACTTCCATTCTGCCCTTTAATCCAAGTATGCTTAATATAATTTATCTGACTTGGGCAAAGGGATGCCTTTAAATTTCAACTTTGTATTTATTGTGAGCCTACTAAGATGTATGAGGAGGCACTGTTTATATCAATCACTTTCACTTCATTGTTAGATATTTCATAGTTTAAGAGCACTTCCATATACTGTCTCATTTAGTTACAATTTTACAGAGCAGCAACTGAGGGTCAGAGTTTATGCAACTTAAGAGATAGTCACGTTATATCAAAGTATATTTCAACTCACCGACTGTCCCTTTTTGTGCTTTCTTCTGTAAAGGACAGTCCAGTTTATCTGTCGAGGGTTCCTCTTGGAAAGGAATGCTGACTCGCATTTTGCATTAAGAAACTGGAAAACCTGTCAAAACAAGTTCAAAGTACAGAAGTTACCTACTCAAACTATACAAAGTAGAAAAGGCTGAGCTTGAAATCCTTAGCAAATTAATATTCTAATTCTATCCTCTCACTCTACGAAATTGGTGCCCACCCACAGAGACCAAATGACTTGTTACAGAACTAGCAGTTAATTGGGTGGCTCCTGGAAGATCTTTGCATTTGGTCCCATCTTTTCTCACGAGCAGGCAAAGCTAAACTCATGTGGGAGGGGAGGGGACGGCATCAAATTCCGGGCGACATCCAGTTCCTGTCATTCCCCCGATTCCAAGGAGTGTCCCTATCACAGCCAGACACCTTGGAGGCCCATTTCCCTCACACAGGACACTAAAGTTACACAAACTCCTAATTTCCGACCCGACTCACACTACATCAAAGCTCAAGAATGGTTCACTTAAGAGGTTTCCGATCCCTACAACCATTGCACAGTGTCCCCGAAGCAAGTCTTTCAGGGACCAAGAATGATGTGGTAAATGAACCCGCGTAGACCGAATTAGACCGGTCGTTCCAGTTAAAAGCACAAGTCGTGTTTGGCCGACGCGGCCTTTCACCTTCCCGTCGGTCCTGGCGTAGCGCCTCCCGTGTCCGGGGTAGATCTTGTACCCACTGAAACTGCACAGCTCGACCCTGTAACGAAAAGCGAAAGCTCATTAGGGAGGTTGTCTACAGCAAGGAGTGGCCATGCCCGCAACGCCAAGGAGGCGATCTGCCTGAAGATGGAAGCGGATTAGGATCCACGGCGCCTGCTTACTTCATGGCTGTGGCTGCTGGAGAGGAAAGATGGTGATGAGAAGGAGAGGATCATGGGAATAGGCCTTATAAGGTCGTGCGGCAATCTCGTCCTCCAATTGCTTCCTATAGCCCCGGCGCTCGGTGATGACGTCACACCCACCGGGTGATTGATTTAGGTTTCAACCGCCGTCGCCTTCCTACGAAGGAATTCTGCAAAAGGCGGCGGAACCTTTGCGGGCGAGAGGGGATGACAGACACACGTACGCAGGCGTCAGGCGGTTGGTTTGGGAGTCATATTCCTGCGGCATATTCCTCCTACGGTCAGGTGTCCTAGAGCCATCATCCTGCCGCAGGAATATGAACTCTCCCTCCTATAGTTTAGTAACCCACAAATGAATACCCCGCAGGTAAAACCTGAAATCACATTTTTGCCCTCCATGTTGGTCCATTATTTCAGTCAACAACATTAAATTTTAATAGTTTCACCATTTACAAAAAAGTAATGACATCTGAACTGTCTCCCAAGCCGTGCAAATCGAGCTGTGCGTAATGGCGCTTTGCGTTAACTAACATTCATTGAGTACTTTCTGTGCCAGGACTTATGCTAAAGCATTTACATCCATTCACTCAGTTTACAAAATCCCTGTTAAGTAAGCGCCATAGTACTGCAAAATGACGACTGCCTTCGGGCAAGAGCTAGGTTGCAGGGCTGCTGTCTATTGGAGCTCAGCCGCTGGTAGTTGCGCAGAGGAGGGCAAAGCCCTTGCCTGGAGGAGGCCTAAAAAACAGGGCTCTGGCCAAGAGACGGGAGGGTCAACGTCTCAATCTCTTGAGCCTTTCTGTAATGCTAGATACTTCGGCATGTGATGGATGGAGAGTGGCCAAAGACATTCCTAGGAAACAGATATGTAATGACTGATTTATTTATCTACATAAGCAGCTTACCCTAAAAACTTTATGTAAGTAGGTAGTTGAAGAGATTTGGAAAATCCAATAAGGTGGCTGATTGATGTTAGGAAAGCTGTACAGTTATGCAGAAATCAGTCTCAAGGATGAGTTAACGGAGATCTGGGTGGAATTGAAAAGCAAAGCAAAGAGGAGGAATTTGACAGCCTGGCCAACTCTGACCAGCTGTTGAGAATACCTGGTATACTTTGGAAAGATAATGTCTACGTAGACTGTAGGGAGATGAATGCTTTGGGCTTCCATGGCTTGATGAATTCAATCAACTGACATTCATCCAACTCTCTGTTTTAAATTACTGCTGATTAAACAAATGGTTAATTGCAAAAAAAAAAAAAAAAAAAATTTTTTTTTGGAATAGTTCTAGCTTCTACAAGATCCAAGTCATGGCTAGTTCTAAGTAGAGAGGGTGGAGCCAAGATTCACTTGCAGGAATTTGGTCCTCTTTGCTCCACAGAACCCCTGAATTTATAGCCCCTTCCCAAGTATTTTAGAAATATTTTCTTTTATTGGTCTTCAAAACTACATTTGGCCTAACTAGCTCTCCAGAGGTAAAGCAGGAAAGTAAGTCTTAAGGATTTTAGTCCTTTTACTCTTTCTTGGAGGGCATTCTTGAGCTGGTATTTGATGATTCTTTGTAACACATTGTGTGTATCACATATGAAATTGTGTTCAAACATTCTCAGAATAAGAAAAAATTATACAGAAACTCCTAAAAGCATCTTATGAAGTGTCACAAAGCACAAGTTTCCAACACTACCCATAAATTTTTACGACATTATCCTTACAGTTTCTTTTATAGGCAAAAGGCTCAGCTTTACTCCAATCTCTTTTATTTATGGAGCAATTCTGATCCAAAGTTGGTGCTCTTCTCAGGTCTGTATATAGCTCCTGAAAATAGCGTTCTTCTCTTCATTGCCTATTCACCTTTTCTACATACTTCACCTGTTGTATTTATTTCCCGTGGTTGTTGTAACAAATTACCACAAACTTGGTAGCTTAAAACATAGGAAATGTATTCTTTTTCAATTGTGGAGGCCAAAAGTCTGAAATCAGTATCGCTGGATTAGAATCAAGGTGTCTGTGCTCCTTCCAGAGGCTCTGAGGCAGCACATGTTCCTTGCTCTTCAAGTTTCCACCCAGATAAACCCTCTTGAATTCCTAACCCACAGAAACTGTGAGATCATAGATGCTTATTGTTTTAAACTATGACTTGGGAATAATTTGTTAACAATAGAAAATAAAGGAGGTAAGGATGTTGTGAAGATGGGACTTAGTGGATAGTGGTATTTGTCAAAAGAAGACAGATAAGAAGAAAGAGCATGTTTGTGGGGTAAAGTCAGTTTTGGAAAGATTAATTTTAAGATGCCCATGAGACATTAAGGTAGAACTGTGTGGTGGGAAGTTAAACAAGTTCAGAGGAGTGTTTGGAATAGAATATGTTTTAGGAGTAACGTACCTATAATAGTAAATAGTAGACTATGTGGGATAACATCACCTAGTGTCACAGGCTGGCTTCTCTGGAAGCATTTACTGAGACTGGATTTAGGGTGCAAGATATTTATTAGGAATCAAGTCCTATGAAAGAAGGGGGAGAAAGAAGTATTAGGCAGAAAGTTAAATACATTGCTGGCTCAATTAAACCTCAGTCAGCCTTGCCAGGAGCTCTAGAATGATTATTGCCTGTCAGAGTATATCATTTTGGGTCAAATGATCAACCTCATTATACCTCTACTTTGCTTAGTCACCAGATAAAGGTTGCCCCAGAGAGTCATGACTTAAGTGAGGTGGTTCTCCGCAGTTGAACCAGATCCTACTGACAGCTGGAGGATGCAGCTGACCACGATGCCTATTATTGGGCAGCAAGCTCTTGGTTTGGATAGTGTATCTCTGTGTTTATCACCTCTAGAAACCAAGTAAATGCTTCTGAGAATTTTCTTCTAATAACATTCTCTTCTGGGTAGAAGAGTGATCTTGCTTTTTTTAAAGAATATACCACTATAGTTCCCAGCAGGCTGGTCAATCCCAAGACACTCAGGCATTGACTTTAGGGAGGGCTTTGAAAGCAATGCCTAGTAACTAAGTTAGAAAATTTTTAGGTTTAAAAATTATACAGCATTAAAAGTTATGAAGCTTTCTTTAAAGTTTTAAAGCATTATTAAAAATTATGAAAGTTATTCTTAAAAATTAGAAAGCATTCTTTAAAAAAATCTAGGGGGGCTGAGTGAAAAAGGTGAAGGGATTAAGAAATACAAATTGGTAGTTACAAAGTACTCATGGGGATATAAAGTATGGCACAGGGAATATAGTCAATAATATTGTAATAATTATGTATGGTGTCAGGTGGGTATTAGACTTATGGGAGGATCATCTCATAAGTTATATAAACATCTAACCACTATGCTGGACACCTAAACTAATATATTGAATGTCAACTGCAATTGAAAAATTAAATAATTTAAAAAAGAAAATACATAACAAACATCTAAGCAAGTCTTCTTATTTAACTATCGATTACATGAAATATAGGGGACAAATGGGCAAGTAAAATGACTCCACAGTGATGCAGTCAGCATCTACAGGGTGACAATTTCTTCAACAGCATTGTAAGGAGAGAGTGAGAGAGAAGAACCTTTGGACAAGGAAAGCTGCATAAATAATTTCCAGGGCCCAGTATAAAATGAGAGTGGGCTCCTTTTTACAAAGAGCAGGAAAAGATGCTGTTAAAGGTACTAACATGTTAAGGTATTTCTTTTGCAATCTGTCTCTTGACCTTTCATGGTATTTTTTCATTAGCTATTTGACGTCATGCTCCCTCAGGTGAAGACATTTACTGGGCCCCTGCAGGCCCTCCCTCACAGGTGCCCAGGGATCTGCTCTGTGACTTGTCGTGTGTACTGGAACACACAAGGCACACCAGCTCTAGGGGTCCCAACCTGCAAGGAACTGGACCAACATTCTGTGTAGTAGAGGCCAGGAAGTAGAGACAGTCATCTCCTTCCACTGTTTTCCTGGTTCAACCCACAGCAAACAGGCAATACCCTGGGATGTGTTATGTACCTGGGTCCCGGATGTGGTGGACAACCAGCCACTTGTGGAATGCACAGTGAGGCTGCTAGCTTGGGAGAGGGGGAGGGATAGGTAGAAGCTAGCATCAGCGGACTGTAGAAACAGCGACTCTCTAGAAGCCTCCCCTAGGAAGTGGGCCAACTTGTGAGCTGAGGCTCCAAGCCCTGGACACGTGCTCTCTTGTCCCATGGTACTTCACTTACAAAATACAAATTCAAATATACAATTATTAAGACTTTCAAGACAGTGACCACAGAACATAAACCTCATGTATGAGATGCTCCTGAGAGTGGGACCCTTTGTGAATACAATGATTGCACAAGTTGAAGCTGGCTCTGCCTATAGATTAAAGAAATTTAAGAGTCCCCTCAACCAATTGCAACCGTTGGATCTTATTTGAGGCCTGATTTGAACAAATGAGCTGGACAGACCATGGGTAATTTCAATACTGATTGGAGTTTTGATGATATTAAGATGTACTGTCAATCCTTTAGGTGTTATGTTATAATCGTACTGTGATTATGTTTATTTTAAAAAACATATTTCCAGACCCATACTAAATATTTACAGGTGAAATAGCATGCTGACCGGGATTTGCCTTAATATGAGGGAGGGTCCCATAGGTAAGGGCATGGATGAAAAAATGACCAAGAGTGGATAATAGTTGAAGCTGGGTGTTGGGTAGGAGGGTTCATTAAAATAATCTCTATATTGTTATGTACTCTTTTAATTACTTTTCCATGATAAAAAGTTTCAAACAATTATAATGTGCTTTGGATCGAAAGACTTAAGTCCCATAATTCATTCTTGAAAAATAGGAAGAATAAGCACCACCTGTATTATTTCTTAATTTTAAAAACTTTTTTAAAGCAAAAGCAAACTTTATACAAGAATGTTTATAGCAGCTATATTCATAATACATACAGGAAACAGTCTAGGTTCCCCATCAATAGATGAATATATAAGTGAACTACAATATATACATATACAATGGACTACTACTCAGAAATTAAATGGAATGAATTATTGATTTCACACATCAACATATGAGTTCCAGAGATTATGCTAACTGAAAAAAGCCTTACAAAAAATAAGTAAATACTGTATGATTCTGTACATATCAAGTTCTACACCATTCGAAA